TCTGCTAATACTAACTGATAGAATCAAAATGGAGAGAACGATCCAACATGGGAAGCAGGATACACAGCAGACTCGTAGAATGGTAGATGTCCTAAATAGCACTCTGGCCTCAGAATCCGCCCTTAAGGCATTTGGATCTGGCTGAAGAGCCCATGAGAGTATTTTAGGCATGGAAAGCCAAGACACTCTGGAAAAAAAAAAAAAAGACCTAAATGGAAGATGTCTGTGAGTGAGATCCCAGTGGAAAGAACAGGGCCATCAAAGAAGCAGGGACCTTTCTCTGAAGGGAGGAGAGAACTTCCACTTTGACTATGACCCTCTCAGAATAAGATCGAAGTCGGCGAACTCAAAAGGCTTCCATAGCCTTGGCAACTCATGACTAGAGCCTAGGGAGATTACTGACGCCATAAACAAGAGTGTCAAATTGTTAAGTCAACAACAGGATCACTGTGCACTTACTTCTCATGTGGGATCTGTCCTTAGTGTGTTGTCCAATGTGAAGTAATGCTATAATTAGTACTGAAACAGTATTTTACACTTTGTGTTTCTGAGTGGGTGCAAAATGATGAAATCTTTACTTAATATATACTAAATCGATCTTCTGTGTATAAAGAGAACTGAAAATGAATCTTGATGTGAATGGAATGGGAGAGGAAGCGGGAGATGGGAGGGGTGCGAGTGGGAGGGAAATTATCGGGGGGGGAAGCCATTGTAATCCATAAACTGTACTTTGGAAATTTATATTTACTAAATAAAAAAATTTAAAAAATTAAAATTAAAATTAAAAAAAGAAAATCTAAACAGATCCATAACCATGAAAAAAATTGAATCAGTAATAAACGCGCTACTAAAAGAAGAGTCGGATGGCTTCACTGTTGAATTCTACCAGACATTTAAAGAACAACTAATCCCAGTTCTTCTCAAATTATTCAAAACAATTGACAGGGAAGGATCCTCCCAAATTCTTTCTATGAAGCCAGCATCACCTTAATTCCTAAACCCAGAAAATAAACAACAGAGAAAGAAAACTACAGACCTAGTTCCCTGATGAAGATAGATGCAAAAATACTCAACGAAATCATGGCCAACTGAATCCAACTACAAATCAGAAAGATCATTCACCAAGTAGGATTTATCCCTGGTATGCAGGGATGGTTCAATATTCGAAAGTCAATCAATGTGATACATCACATTAACAAATTGAGAAACAAAAATCATATGATCATCTCAATAGATGCAGAGAAAGCATTTGATAAAATACAACACCCTTTCATGATGAAAACTGTAAGCAAATTGGGTTTAGAAGGAACATTCCTCAACACAGTTAAGGCAATTTAGGACAAACCCATTGCCAGCATTATATAGAATGGGGAAAAGTTGGAGGCATTTCCATTGAAAACTGACACCAGACAAGGATGTCCACTCTCACCATTGCTATTCAATTTGGTCCTAGAACTTTTAGCCAGAGCCATCAAGCAAGAAAAAGAAATTAAAGGGATACAAATGGGAAAGGAGGAAGTTAAACTATACCTATTTGCAGATGATATGATTCTTAATTTAGGGGATCCAAAATATTCCTCTAAGAGACTATTGGAACTCATAAAAGAGTTTGGTAAAGTAGCAGGATACAAAGTCAATGCACAGAAATCAATAGCCTTTGTATACACATGGCCGAGAAACAACTTCTAAGATCAATCCCATTAACAATAGCCACAAAATCAATCAAGTACCTTGGGATAAATTTAACCAAGGATGTCAAAGATCTCTATGACAAAAATTACAAAATATTAAAGAAAGAAATAGAAGAATACACAAAAAAATGAAAAATCTGCCATGTTCATGGATTGGAAGAATTAATATCATCAAAATGTCCATTTTCCCAAAAGCAATTTCTAGATTCAATGTGATACCAATCAAAATACCAAAGACATTCTTCTCAGATCTGGAAAAAATTATGCTTAAATTCATATGGAGGACAGGAGACCAAGAATAGCTAAAGCAACCCTATACAGTAAAAGCAAAACCAGAGGCATCACAATTCCAGACTTCAAGACATACTATAGGGCAGTTATAATCAAAAAAGCCTGGTACTGGTACAAAAGCAAATGGATAGACCAATGAAACAGAATAGAAACACCAGAAATTAATGCAAACATCTATAACCAACTCATATTCAACAAAGGAGCTAAAAGCAACTCCTGGAACAGGGACAGCTTCTTCAATAAATGGTAGTCAAATCCAAAATGAATAATTGGGATTATCTCAAATTAAGAAGTTTCTTTACAGCAAAAGAAACAGTCAGGAAAGTGAAGGGGCAACTGACAGAATAGGAGAAATTATTTGCAAACTACACAACTGATAAAGAATTAGCAACCAGAATCTATAAAATAATCAAGAAACTCCACAGCAACAAAGCAAACAATCCAATAAAAAGATGGGCCAAGGACCTTAACAGACATTTTTCAAAAGAGGAAATCCAAATGTCCAACAGACACATGAAAAAATGCTCAGGATCTCTAGCCATAAGGGAAATACAAATCAAAACCACAATGAGGCTTCACCTCACCCCAGTTAGAGTGGCCCTCATACAGAAATCAACAAACAACAAATGCTGGAGAGAATGCTGGGAAAAGGGCACCCTAACCCATTATTGGTGGGAATGTAATAAAGCCACTGTGGAAAACAGTATGGAGATACCTCAAACACCTGAATATAGACCTACCATATGACCCAGCCATTTCATTACCGGGAATTTACCCAAGGGAAATGAAATCAGTAAACAAAAGAACTATCTGCACCTCCAAGTTTATCGCAGCTCAATTCACAATAGCTAAGACATGGAAGCAACCTAAATGTCCATCAACCGAAGACTGGATAAAAAAAATTGTGGGAAATGTACACTATGGAATGCTACACAGAAGTAAAAAAAAAAAATGAAATCGGGTCCTTTTCAACAAAATGGAGCAAGCTGGAAAACCTCATACTTAGTGAAATAACCCAGTCCCAAAGAGACAAACACCATATGTTCTCCCTGATTTGGGAGAAATAATAGTGCAGCTAAAATGAGAGCTAAAGAAGCAAAATACTCACTTTTAAGACCAATGTCCTCAAGAATCCTTGATCTGATTGTCGAGAGACAGTAAACCATTGTTACCTTTTACTGTATATATCATTTTTGTTTTGTTTTGTCAGTTGTTTTTTTTTTCTGTTTTATTTCTCTCTCTCTCATCTCTCTACTTCACACTATATGCTGAACTCTCTATGTAACTCAGAGTTAATTATATGTATTTTAAAGCAATTGGAAAAAGATCCCAGTTAAAAACAAGGGAGGGAATAAGAGATGGAAGAGGTAGTCTAAAACTGTGAGACAGTATAGTTCTGCATACAGGCATATATACTTACCTCTCAGGGTACAGCCTAAGAACTAATCATAGGGCTCCAAACCCATTAGAATCAGTGGTATAAACACCATTTTCACTGTTACAATGGTCATATTAAATGTTACAGGCAACAGATAGTCCAGTCTAAGTTTAAAAGGAAGGAAGGACCAACATGGGAAGCAGTCCACACAGCAGACTCCTAGAATGACTTTCCCAGTAAATAACACTCTAACCTCAGAATCAAGCCATAAGGCTTCCTGGTCGGGCTGAAAGGCCTGCAAGAGTATCTCAAGCGTGGAAAGACAAGACTATGTGGGAAAAAAATCCTACACAGAGAATCTCTGTGAGACCTCAGAGGAAAGGAAGGGTCATCAAAGAAGGAGACACTCTTCTCTGAAGGGAGAGGAGAACATCCTCTTTGCTTATGGCCATGTCCAAATACCGATGGAGTCTATGGTCACAAAAGGCCTCCACAGCCCTACCAGCCCACAATAAGAGCCTCAGATGATCACTGGCATCACAAAAAAGAGTGTTAATTGTTAAAGGAAAAATAGTCACTGTGCACTTGCTCCCCAGGTAGGACCTCTGTCCCTATTTAATTGTGATATGAGAATCAACTGCAAATTATCTCCCCAAACTGTACTCTATATTTTGTGTGTGGGCATGGGGCAAATTGTTGAAATATATGATTAGCATAGAGTTGGTCCTCTGTATATAAAGTCATACTAAAAATGAGCCATAATGAAGAAGGAGATGGAAGAGGGAATGGGAGGTGGGATGGGAGCGGGGTGGTGGGTATGGAGGAAAGAACCACTGTATTCTTAAAGTTTTATCTATGTATAAATTTATTTTATACATTTATGTATTACATTAAAAAAAGATATATGTATAAAGAGTGGCATTGTGTTTGTCTTACCAATTCCATTCGCAGATACCTAAACTAAGGAAATAAATAGAAATACAGCAAGATTTATGAATAAATACATTTATTATTAATCTATTATAATCTAAACACCATTAGAAACAATTGAAATAAACACATGCAAAAGTAGATAGATTAAAATATTCAAAATATGAGTGAAATATATTTCACAAGCTTTAGAAAATATTTGAAATTTTTCTATTAATTTAATAAAATACTAAGTGAAAAAAGTCATGTGTATATGTTCTAATTTTACAAAGTGCTTGTTTTATAAATTTCATGGTATGGAAAACAATGTCAAATTGCATATTGTTTGTATTTATGTTATATGGTAGAAGGAAAGGAAGAAATAGAGAAAGAGAGAAAGAGAATGTCTCAAATGCCAAATGTTAACAGAACATATATTTGAGTTGCCAGATTATGAATCATCTTGCTTTCCTTAAATTAAGAAAATAAAAAAATCAGAATGGTATGAAAATGTGCTAATGCCATTAGCCAAAAGTTTACCATTGAATATATACTTCATATACAGAAAGAGAATTTCAAAATACTAGTTCTCGCAGCCTCCTCCGGGCCCGCGGTGACTCGCCCAAGGTCGCCGAGCCCCGCCGCGGGTTTTGGGGTGGGGGCCGGCTCGGGCGGTCCCCGGGCGCGGCGCGCGCTGACGCCCGGCCCCCGCGATGCGGCGGGGCCGGGCGGGGGGGAGGCGCGTAGGCGGCAGCGTCCTCCTTTTGTGCGAGCGCTGGTTAGGCTTCTCGAAGGAAAAGAAACTGAGGCGTGGAGTTTGAATAACACGTTCAAGGTAACCGAGTTGATAGGACAATGACAGAATCACCAGCACTGGCTGAAGGTACCTTAACATGGGGAATCTTCTTAAAGTTTTGACATGCACAGACCTTGAGCAGGGGCCAAATTTTTTTCCTTGATTTTGAAAATGCCCAGCCTACAGAGTCTGAGAAGGAAATTTATAATCAGGTGAATGTAGTCTTAAAAGATGCAGAAGGCATCTTGGAAGACTTGCAGTCATACAGAGGAGCTGGCCATGAAATACGTGAGGCAATCCAGCATCCAGCAGATGAGAAGTTGCAAGAGAAGGCATGGGGTGCCGTTGTTCCACTAGTAGGCAAATTAAAGAAATTTTATGAATTTTCTCAGAGGTTAGAAGCAGCACTACGAGGTCTTTTGGGAGCCTTGACAAGTACCCCGTACTCTCCCACCCAGCATTTAGAGCAAGAGCAGGCTCTTGCTAAACAGTTTGCAGAAATTCTTCATTTTACACTCCGGTTTGATGAACTCAAGATGACGAATCCTGCCATACAGAACGATTTCAGTTATTACAGAAGAATGTTGAGTCGGATGAGGATTAATAATGTTCCAGCAGAAGGAGAAAATGAAGTAAATAATGAATTGGCAAATCGAATGTCTTTGTTTTATGCTGAGGCAACCCCAATGCTGAAAACATTAAGTGATGCCATGACAAAATTTGTCTCAGAGAATAAAAATTTACCAATAGAAAATACCACAGATTGTCTAAGCACCATGGCTAGTGTTTGCAGAGTCATGCTTGAAACACCAGAATACAGAAGCAGGTTTACAAATGAAGAAACAGTATCCTTCTGCTTGAGAGTAATGGTGGGTCTTATCATCCTCTATGACCATGTGCATCCAGTAGGAGCATTTGCCAAAACCTCCAAAATTGATATGAAAGGTTGTATCAAAGTTCTTAAGGACCAGCCTCCCAACAGTGTAGAAGGTCTTCTAAATGCTCTCAGGTACACAACAAAACATTTGAATGATGAGACTACCTCCAAGCAAATTAAATCCATGCTGCAGTAACAGTCCTGGAGTGGGCCCTGCTGTGGACAGAAGACAGTGTTCTGCAATGACTGAGAATGCACAGTTTTTTAGTGATTGCAATTACTATCTCATTTATTCTTGCTTTTATTTCTCTTCCCTCTTTTTTAATCATGTTCTTGTTCTTAAGACTTCTTTTCTGTGCCAAAATCAGTAAAGTTACACTCTGAAGGGATATTGTCCTTTCAAAAAGGCCATCTAAGGCAGCTAATTATGCATTGCATTGGGGTCTCTACTGAGAAAAATTCTGTGACTTGAACTAAATATTTTTAAATGTGGATTTTTTTTGAAAACTAATATTTAATATTGCTTCTCCTGCATGGCAAAACTGCCTATTCTGCTATTTAAAAGCCCTCAACAACTTTATTTTCTACTGCCGCTTTTTTCATGTGCAGCCAAAATGAAAATGTTTAAATTAATTGTGTTGTACAAATGGTACCCAACACAAACGTTTTTTAAATTAGTAAGACTTTTGTTTAAAGTTTTAATTTTGCATTTTGACTTTTTTTGTAAGGATGTATGTTGTGTGTTTAACCTTTATTAACTAACGTTAAAAACTGTGATGTGTGCGTAGAATATTACGTATGCATGTTCATGTTTAAAGAATGGCTGTTGATGATAAAATAAAAATCAGCTTTCATTTTTCTAAAAAAAAAAAAATACTAGTTCTCCACAGCAAATCTGTCACATAGAAAACCACACAGGATAAGAAGCTGGTAGGCAGTGTCAAAAGCATCAAAATACCATGATTAAGAACTGTAATTTATCATGATTGAGAGAAGAAAGGATGAGAGAAAAGAGAAATTAAAGTAGAAAATAAGAGATTTAAGACAGTAGATTAGAGTGGTAAACATGCATTCCTTCCAAATTCTACTTCTACACTTAGATAGGTAATTTATAATCCTCACTATATAGCATCAAAGCTACTTTAAATTTCTGTTTGACAGCTGAATAGACAGTTTTCATCACAGCTAACCAGTTAGTGCATAGAGTACTGTTTTATTGAAATAAATAGCAGCCATTACAGATAGTGTTCTCCAACTTTTTGTTTCTATCAAATCAGAGACAAATTGAAGATACTACAAGCAAGGAATTAAAGACAGAGTCAGGTTGAATGGAGGCCTTCAAAATTCAGCTTGAAAGAGCTGCTTTCTGTGATCTACTCGTGCAGAAATTCTCCAGATTCTTCGCTGATCCATCTTCCATTTTCTAATTGATCATCTTCAAATAGGTTATGGCATTAAAGCAGCCATCTGGGATGCAAATCTGGAAGTAGTACTTTAAAAACCCTGGTGTAATGTTTTAAATGTGGTGGTTTTTTTTTTTTTTTTGGCAAAGTATTCCTTGTATAATGATGCATTCAATGTGTCAACTGCCATAGGCTTCTAAAATCCTTTCTCATTTAGTTATCATAACCTTATCTGAGGCAGAAGTTATCCTGATTTAACAGACAAGGACATCAAGATAAAGAAATGCCCACAATCACAGAAAAGAAACTGAAAAATCTGGAATGAGAACCCTGCTGATCTGAGTCCAGACCTTCACTCTTTATTAGATTCTTTATATCTTAATCTCATTCAAGGGAGTGGACTACACTACATAAATGTCAAAGTAGTATTGAATGAATCTGGCCTCCTAATGTTTACCCTTATATAGGCAGGGTGTAGGGACTGCTTCTTCTGAGATTTTGGTACAGAAAGATGGTGGCTTTCGCTTTTGCCAATCTGAGGAGTTGGTAGAAGATATGAATTTACTCATGGAAGCTGGAGTAGAGCTAAAATTTTCTATGTTGGAAAAAACAAAAAGATTGAGAAGCTTCAAAGGGAAAAAACCAGAAGCAATGAAAGAAGAGAAAATGTGTTACAAGACAAAGAAAAGAAATTTGAAGAGGTACTAGCAATGGAGATTTTTCTAGAGAAACGTTGAGCATTCCAACTCTCCCATCCTTTCCTACCAAATGACAACTAAATTCTCTTTCTTCAATAGTTTTCTTATGAGAGTAGTTTCTTTAATGGATGCCTCTAAGAAGCAGACAAGGGAAAAGCTGACAAAAAAAAGGTTAAAAATAAAGAGCTAAAAAATACTTAACTATATAACATATAACCTTGCCCTCAAATTTCCTCCTCAATAAAATGGAGAAAAAAATGTTACCTATCAAGATCCAAGATGGCTGAATAGAGAGGCCCTGCCCTCACCTCCATCACAGAGAAGAACCAGAGTCACAAAGGAAGTCTGAACCACTATAGAAATAAAAATATGCCAAGAGATTGACTGAAGGAAAACTTCAGGAAAAAAAGTGACAGGAACACTAAACAACACAGACTTGAAAAGCTAGCATGGGAAGAGGAAAAAAAAGCACACACCACAGCTCCATTCTGGCTCCCCAGCTAGGGGAGCTCCATTTTGCAAGGAAAAGGTAAGCAGAAAGATCCAAAACTTGCACCGTCACTGCAGATGGGTAGTCCTGATTACAGGAGAATCCCACAGTCCCCAGCGTCTGTAAGTCCAGTCCAGAAAGATGGCTGGGTTTTAGAGATTGCTTTGCTTCAAAATAGGAACCCCCATTGCCTCCTTATCAAAGTCCCAGATCCAAGTTGCGGCAGCACAGCTGCTGATGAACTTTGTTCTGTATTAGGTACTGAAGTTGCCACCAGAAGCTCCCAAAGCCAGGGCACTTCAGAGAACAGACAGCAAGCCTCTGTGAATCCTGAAGCTTTGGGACTGCTCAGCACAAGCTCCAGACTCACTCTATAAGACCTAGTGACATTCCCTGTGTTTCTTGGGGCTCTGCACCAACAGAAGCCAATGCACAATTCCAGATGACCAGGCTTGAGGGAGTCCCCTTCCTCAGGGTGCTGGGTGGCCAGACTGCAAGTTTCAGTGTCACTCATGCATGCCATGAGGGAACTGGGAGCATTCTCATCAAGTTCTGCAGCACTTCCCTAAGATCTGGAATAATATAAGGACATTCATTTTCTTTTTTTTTTTTTTTATCTTTTATTTAATGAATATAAATTTCCAAAGTACGACTCATGTGTTACAATGGCTTCCCCCCCATACCGTCCCTCCCACCCACAACCCTCCCCTTTCCCACTCCCTCTCCCCTTTCATTCACATCAAGATTCATTTTCGATTATCTTAATATACAGAAGATCAGCTTAGTATACCTTAAGTAAGTATTTCAACAGTTTGCAAGGACATTCATTTTCAATACTCTTTTTCAATATACAATTAGAAACACTATTAAAAGCAATTGGGTAAGAAAATTAAATAAAGAACATCAAAATTGGAAAGAAGATAGTCTAATTATCCATATTTGCATATGACATGATTTTGTACATAGAAAAAATCAAACATTTCACCAAAAAGCTACTAGAACTGATAAATCAATTCAGTAAAGTCATAGCATACAACATCAACATACAAAAAAAGTAGCATTTTTATACACCAGTAATCATCTTGCTGAAAGGGAAATCAAGACAGAAATCCCATTCATAATAGCTACAAAACTTAAATATTTAGGAGTAAATGTAATCAAAGAAATCTACAAATCTCTACAATGATATTTTTAAAACACTGATAAAAAATCATTAAGAGGACACAAAAATTAGACAGATATTCCTTATTCATGGAGTAAAAGAATTAATATTATTAAAAGATCTGGCCGGCGCCGCGGCTCAGTAGGCTAGTCTTCCGCCTTGCGGCGACAGCACACCGGGTTCTAGTCTCGGTCAGGGCGCCGGATTCTGTCCCAGTTGCCCCTCTTCCAGGCCAGCTCTCTGCTGTGGCCCGGGGAGTGCAGTGGAGGATGGCCCAAGTGCTTGGGCTCTGCACCCCATGGGAGACCAGAATAAGTACCTGGCTCCTGCCATCGGATCAGCGCGGTGTGCTGGCCGCAGCGCGCCGGCCGCGGTACCATTGGAGGGTGAACCAATGGCAAAGGAAGACCTTTCTCCCTGTCTCTCTCTCTCACTGTCCACTCTGTCTGTCAAAAAAATAAATAAATAATTAAAAAATAAAAATAAAAGATCCATACAACCTAAACAAATCTATTCATCTATCACAATCTCTTGTAAAATACCAATGATATTCTCTATATAATTAGAAAAACAGTTTTCTATAATTCTGGTATGGCCTTACTGCTGGCAGAGTAACTGATGACACAGGCATCATATGGCAAGCGACAGGGAGTGCATTTGTCTGTGTCTGTCTCTTCTAAGTTTATTCCCTCTTCTTATTAAGCTATCAGAAATCAATCAAGTGGGCTGTACTTTAGTGAATTTACCTATTCCCAATCAATTCTGGAAGATCCCTTCTGTAAACACTATGGTCAGATTAAGTTTCCACTCTATTTCGCAATGGGAATCAAACTGCAATACATGCAACCTTAGGGTGCATATAAACCACAGCAATTGTTATGAAAATTAAATGAGTATGCCGGTGCCACGGCTCACTAGGCTAATCCTCCGCCTAGCGGCACCGGCACACCAGGTTCTAGTCCCGGTCGGGGTGACGGATTCTGTCCCGGTTGCTCCTCTTCCAGGCCAGCTCTCTACTGTGGCCTGGGAGTGCAGTGGAGGAGGGCCCAAGTGCTTGGGCCCTGCACCTGCATGGGAGACCAGGAGAAGCACCTGGCTCCTGCCTTCGAATCAGCGCGGTGCGCCAGCCACAGCTCACTGGCCACAGAGGCCATTGGAGGGTGAACCAACGGCAAAGGAAGACCTTTCTCTCTGTCTCTCTCTCTCACTGTCCACTCTGCCTGTCAAAAAAAAAAAAAAAAAAAAAGAAAATTAAATGAGTAAACACTGTGAAGAGGTTGTAATAATGCCTACCAAATAGTGAAAACTTCTGTTATCATTATTAAAAATAGAAATTACTCCCTGATTCCCAAAATATATGTTAAACAAATAGTTAAAGGACATTGATGTAAAGGGACCTCAATTTTTAGTCCACTCAAAATGCATATACTCTCTCTATAACCCCAAAGCAGCTCTCAATTGTGCCAGCACTTTCCTTTCTTCTCCCTCCTTGCTGAACCTCCCTACTTGCATATTCAGCTAAATTGCCTTCAACTGTTAAAAAGGACATTCAGACTTGTTCTCTTAAATGACCTGTTTTTCTTAACCCTTCACACTTTGCACAAGTCTCATTCAGGAATTCTGAGTTCCATTTTTGAACAGCTGTTCTTTGGTGTATTGTCAGTATATTTTGGAGAGATTTTTCCCTTTCATGACCCAAAACTCCTAAGACTCATCTTGAACCAGAGCAAACAGGGACAGTCTAATAACACACACCTCTTCTTTGTTATAAAAATTCTAATGCATTCACCTAATCCCTCAGATTTTTGCTTGATTGTTTCCTATTGTTAGAATTTTTATATTTAGCCCTTTAGGTTTTAATCTTTCATCCACAGGTTGCAATAGCAGGGTAGATAAATCCCAAGTCAAAATGCATTACACACAAAAAAGAGATAAGATAGTTTGAGAAAAGATACAGCTTATACTAAAATAATTAAAAATAAAAGTAACCTGAATTATTTATTGGCAATAGTGTTATCTGACTGCATAGTGTACTTCTTAATGAGTCATACTTTTAACATTTTAATACCAAGGGTATTTATTCTGAACTTTACTCTTTGAA